CTTTCGTAGGCTAGTTGGACAGCTTCCACACATAGAAGAATGCAAAGTCCGGGAAGGGATTTGAACCCATACGGGTGGCATTAACGTTAAGCACTTAGTCATGGACGGATTCTAATATATTTCAGACCAGTGAAGCTTTTGATTTTTTTCAAGTGCTTTATACGTATAATGAAAATTTTCATTTAATTTAAAATGTATTATATATAACCAGAAAGCTAGTTAAGAGAAATTATTTCTCGTTCAACGGTAGACAAAATCTGATATAACAAGAAAGCGTAAATTGGTTTCAAATATATTTTTTTATTTCATTTCATAAAAACATAACAATATATAAATGAGAAAACGGTTTCCCTAGTAACGCTTATACTTGATCGACACATTTATACAGGTGAAATTACTAAATATAGATTTTATCAGATTATAATTTTTCGCAACTGAGAACAAAATTGGTTTTCAGCTGACTACATTCCTTGACAAATGGTATTTTAATAACACAATAAAAAAACGCTCACGTGCTCTTTACGTACAAACATAATGTGCAATATATTAATGAAAAATGCAGTTCGAGGCTGTATTTGCTTCATTTAAAATGAAAATTAGAAAAAGTAGTATCAAAATTAATGCTTTAACAATGGTATTAACAATGAAATATGGGAGGAAAACTAAATATATTATGATTTTCAACAATATTTAAACGTGTTACTTAATGTCTTCCCTAACTGCGAGTTTGAATGATGAAAAATAGAACAATTTAGACATTCGATTATTTTTTATAATATTTTTCAATTTTGACTTCGTTAGAGTTCTTATGTACATGTACTGATGCCACTGAAAAGGCTTAGCTTTGTGTCCACTAACAGAAAATATCTAAATTCATACGTTCACTTGTGTCAAAAATATGAAACAAAAAAAACAAATCTCACATAATTTACAAGCAATAATAGGTTATTAACTCGGATGAAAAAAAATATATCATTGTGAAAAAAAACAAAATACATTTTTAATCAAGAAATGGATTACATTTGTAATAACATGTTCAAAAATACTTAATTTTGGTAATTACATATTATCGCAAACCCTTTGAAATACATTTTTGGTTCACAAACTCTTTCCAACTTTGAGATCTAATTCATTATAATATCAAATAACTGACACATTAGCAGACGACATTAATGTGTTTCTAGCGATATACAATAAACAATCGTAACATATATTTTCAAAATCTCAGCAAAACACGAATACATGAATAAGAAAAAACATAACATAAATCATAGTTTTACATTTTGAATTTGTCGTCTGCTATTGAATGAAGATCATCAGAAATGCACACATTGTATTATAAACCTGCTAGATCATAGCTTGTGTAAAATCGTAACAAAAATGCCCTATTTACTGTGTATTATAACTTTATCAAGTAGGCTATCTACTAAAACGTTACAAACGGTTTACCACAATTTTACAAGGATTGGTTTTTTTTCAACAGAAACTGAACAGCATAAAAATCAGATATGTCAAAATCAGCATGTTCGTAAATCAACGACTGCAACATAAATAAAGATTTGATTTTCATATCCTATTTTCGCAATTCATGAAACATTCGTGGAATAGTTGCATTTGTAGAAAAAAATAGTCCAGATAAACAAGTTCGTACAAAGTACATAACTATATACATTACAAATTGACACTTTACATATGTTTGTCCCATTCTCATAATAGCCACATAAAATGCCGTGCGAAAGTTATACATACGGCGGCAATAAATATAGTACTAAATGCTATAATTATGTTATTACATGCCATAGTTGCCAGCCCATGAGATATGGCTTAATATCGTGTAAAATACACTCAGCTGACAAAAAATAAGCTGATCAATTTAAAAAGATAAACGACATAAGCAGTCTGGTAATAAAAAATCTCTTGGGAAATACGAGATATGCGATAATTCCTAAAGGGTCTTGTAGTATGGTATCAAACAAGACGCCGAGCAAACCTTGACTGGTACCCAGTTGATTAGCAGACGATATTTGTAGCAGACGACAATTTTCCCAAAATGCAAAGGTTAAATAAGGTACACAACCTGATTTCATACAATAACTCATAATCTGATATCGACTGTAAATGAGCATTTTGTTACTATGACTAATAATAAACATTCAATCAATGTGATTGCAGTGTTTAGCAACATCTAGCCTCGTTCTATGTTGTTAATACCACACTTATACGTCTATCACTAAATCTAATAACTTTAAAAAAAATCAATAGCAGCCGTAAACCTGTACTGTGAAAATAGATTTTATAGTTTCTGAATTCAGCGATAGGGGAAATTTAATAAAATCAATTTTCAGAAACAGCTGAGAGTAGAAAAAAAAACATGAGACTTTCCCACCGGTATAGGATATTCAAAGTTCATGAAAATATGCTTATAACAAAAACATATCCCGTAGCTTGTTCTGATATATTAAAACATACGGTTGGTATTCGTCAAATCTGAAGTTCTACGTTTATAAGAACTGATAAGCCAACTGGCTTTCCATTTATTCATAGCCTGTAGAGAAAGTAAATTCACAAACTGACGAGCTGAATATCAAAAACATGGCCGATATAATTTTGCATTTTCACAAGCAAATAGAAATAACAATAATTCAGCGCAATATTACAGAAAATGATCGCTAAAAGTAGTTTGTAAAATGAGCAATTTATATCATACATTTATTTCCGGGATATTATTTTGTAAACTAGAACTATTTTAATATTCACTTGTCATCTGGAGTCTTCGTTATTGAAGGAAGAGGGGAAACATGCACAGATAAATTTCTGGAAAGTTTTTATATTTCCCTAGAGCATACATCTTGAATTAGGAATGATTTGCCTACATTATACTGAAAAGATCTACTTGAGAAAAAAAATAAAAAAAAACACAGTGATTTATGTGAAAATGGAACAACGCGAAGTCATTTACTTTATCGATACATAATCTAAATAATACTGCATTTTTTTTCTTCAATTGAAATGCCCTTCAAAACAGCATAATGAGTTTTATCAAATTACACTTTAAAAACAAAAAATATCTCAGAATGCAGTTGAGAAAAAAAACTGTTTTAAGATTTAAAAGCAGTTGGGTTCCTGGCACTGATTCAAAACAACAGAGTTCTGCCGATTATCGCAATTGTGAGACCCGAATATTCTAAAATTTTGAATTTGTTTTTCCAAGATATGTCGACATATCGCAAGCATCTATATTTCATACAAAAAAAACTAGAAATGAGGAACGCTTGCTCAGAAATGACATGTATGAAAACTAAGTGTTTCTTTTGTAAATATAAATGCCCTTTACATCGTTTTAAATGCAAATAAAATGGTACAAAAGAGTAGTAACTTTTTAAATAAAAAGAGTAGTAACTCTTTAAATAAAAAAAAATAAAAATCAGATACAGTGAAAGAGTTATTGCCCTTACTATGTGATTATGTAAAAAATGTAATTCTTTAAACAAAATAAAATACATTGAAAAAAAGTTATCGCCCTTACTATAATTATGTAAAAAAAAGAGTTGTAACTCTAGCAAATGAGAAATAGTGATTGTAAGAGTTATCGTTCCTAGATACATATCAACAAATACAGATACAAATGTATTACAATGCAAGAATGATACTTTAATAAATGCACGAATCATAATGCCACATTCAAACATCAAGTTTCAAGATTTGCACAATTTCCCAGCAATTATGAATGAAAAAACCATATCAATTTCTTACAAACAGCTATAGAGCCTAGAATAATGAACAATATTTACTTCAAATACAAACAAAAATGACATGTACACAATACATTTCACCTACTTCCGGTTAAATTAGCAATTAATAATTCATTGTATGTCGCTAATTACTTTCAGTATCAATAAACCCACGACACCAATAAATTAATCACGAGTTCTGCTTCCTATCAAGATAATACCAGACGCAAAGAGTAAGGTCATATTTGTTCAACCGAATGTATTCACTACTTTTTTGTGCTAATGCAGTGAATAGTTTCTTTTTCCTGGGGTAACAGAAAGAGGTCAGGAGTAACAGAAAGAGAGTCTTTAATTATTCAGAGAGACCAAATACTGCATTTTTATGTGATAGAGTTACAAATTCTAGGAGATTTGCTTCTTACATAAACTTTTTTACCCAATCTTCGTATGTAATGTCTATCACTGTTCAAGAAGAAATAATTACAGCACCTTAATGGTGGCACTTTCAGGGCTTTACTCTAAAAGTATTTTCCATCATATATACAGTTGTATAAAAGACGGAGAGGAGAAAAAATGCCATTAACGTCTCTAAATTAAATAATGAATTTTCTCTCTTGGTCTTATTTTCTCGCGAGATTCACAAAGGGTTACAGCCCAAGGCAGCAGCTATGGACAATTAGAGGTTGACAAGTAAAGCGTTACTATGGCAACCGTTTTGTGCTGTCTTCAGATTTATGAGAAAAAATGGTCAGAGGATGCTTCAGAAGCGCAAAAACTCACAATTGTCTCACCAAATAAATCGATGATTGTTATTTTTTTCTTTGAGTTGTACACAAAAGAATGTCTGAATGGTGTGAAATAATAATTAACAATAAAATGTCGATGATTTCTCATGAATACATGTACAAACAAAAAAACAAATTCTTGGCGAGATAAAAAGTGTAAAAACAATATATGTATATGAAGCTATCAACACCATAGACATGAGACACATAGATAAATAAAATTGCACTAAAATGTCTGTGAAAACAACTATGTACACCAAAAATAATATACATGTATACATTATACAATACGATTCAATCTTTAACAATGTAACATAGATCCGATGGTCGCGATGAAATGAGCCGCGTCACGACAAAACCAATGGGTTTGCGACCAGCATGGAACCAGACCAGCCTGCGCATCCACGCAGTCTGATCAGGATCCATGCTGTTCGCTATCAGTTTCTCTACTTGTTATAGGGTATGCTGGTCGCAAACCCATTATGTTGGTTTTGTCGTGACACGGCTCAAATGTTCATAACATTGAGAAATGACAAAACTTTTATCGTGGTTTAAAAACGGGCAAACAATGCCATAATGCTGTTGTAAAACATCTTAAGTTTATTTCGAGTGAAAAAAATCCGGACGGTTTGTGGATCCCTTTTAACATTTTCATAAATATTTTGCATTTAGATTGAGTAAAAATGTACCATTTGTATAGATTTTTAGAAAACTGTTATTTTTAACTGGTCTTAAATACTTATACTTCTTAGACTTAAAAAAGGGAAAAGACACAAATTCAGTAACAGTGTCAGTGTCGCCATTGTCTATCTAACGTCATTAAATAAAACATCTTATGAGCCAATCAAAACCACGGTCACATTCAAATAATTTGAGCGATGCTATGAAAATTCAGTATCTAACAAAATTATAGCCCTAGATAAAATACCCCATCAATGATGCGCAGTTGTGAACAATGAACGCTGTCATGCTTTTCAAACCAAATCAAGCGTTTAACAATACGGATTATCATTGAATTGATCACGATTGGCAGATGCTTTCATCTTTTAATTGTCAGTTGCTGTTATGCGTGAAAAAAATACCCTATATATTACAGATAACGTTGTATTTCTCTATAAATTGTTGTGAAACACGAATCCAAAATGGTTTCAAGCCATGTATACATGTGATACACAATTTATATTGTATGCTATATATTATTTATACTGTATAATATCTTGCCACTTAGTATTTTATCTATGTGAACATTAATCTACCTACGATAAAAATTTTATGATGAAAAAAATAAGAGCAATGCTTCAAGAAACTCTTGAGTAGAGAAAAGGGTTCTATCTTCAGGAACTCTGGAACAAGCGTTCCTGGAGTAATATTTTTTTCGAATAAAATTGCGTCATTTGCGTAATTTTTTTTGCAAACAATTACGTATTCTGGCGTATGGATTTCCCATTATAAAGGTATTATAAATGCAAACGCAAGCTGTTACGCCATTACTAATCATTTGTAATGAAACATTTCGATAATTTCTATTTTCAAGAGCATTGACGCCATAACAGTGATATGCTCGTATCGCTTAGATAAAAACAATCAGAAATTCATTCTAAATATCTGTTATTAAAATCTTATAGACAGAAAGGTGCTACTTTACAGCAAAAATTAGGATAAAACAGTGTTAGATTTGTTTACTCGCGCTTTTGTTTTCATATCGACACATATTTTTGTTGTTGCCACACAGCTGTGAAAATGCGTTATGAAAACAATTGTAGTTTTAATCAAACCATAGTGTAAACATAACAGACTTTATGGTGCCAAATTATGATACGAAAAAAATCTGGGTGAAAAAAAATCCACCCAAGATGAACCGCTTAAGATACGAGAGAGGCGCTAAAAATAGATACTGGGAACGCGGAACATAAACATCACTTTAGAAATATCGACCTGTCAAAACAAATCTAACTCTTGCATTTATGTCAAATTATCTAAATGTAGATAACCAATAGATTATCAAATCTACCTTCGAAAACAAAAAAATAGCAGAAGGTAGATAGGTAAATTCTTTAAGATTGTTATCTTTGATTTATTCAAATTAAGATATAGATTAACGCTAATCCCAAAAAAGTTAAATAAACTTAAACAAAAGGATGAGCTTCGATAGTAATGAAAGTAATAATGTTCCTTACATTCACAGAAAAACTTTTGCAAAAAAATAAGGAAAGAGAAAAAAAACAGAAAAAAATATATATTAATATAACCTTGCATCAAGATAATACGTGTTTGACAGAACCCGGTTTTATTGAGTCTGTGAGATAATTAAAAGTTCAACATCTCCTACGCCCCCTAGCACCGGCTGAATCGGTATTCAAAGTTTAACACTAAACAAATTAAACTCAACAAGTCGGTCTTAATAACAAACCTATAAGCATCAAATTAAAAGTGCACGTTTCCCCTGAAACAGTTGAAGCAAAGATTATTTTCTTCTGGTTCAATGCTTGAAACATATGTATTCATGTAAATTTAAAACATATGTATTCATGTAAATTAAAACAACAGACTGACTTGTAATTAAGGTAAGTGAAGTGGCCTTAAGGCAGATGTTTAAATTAAGTTTTATGGACAGAACAATCATGTTTTATTCAAGGGCAGGCCTCGAGTTTAGAAATAAACTTGAAAAAAGATCAATATATAAACTTTACTAAATCAGATACACTTAAAAAAGGTTTCTAAGTTCAATTCGTTTGTTGGTGCTTTTGTTTGTTGTTGGTAATGGTTATAATGGTGGCTGGGGAGCTTGTCGATGTTGTTAATAATTAAACTTTAATGTTCATGTATTTATATTACTAGATCCGTTGACACGAGCAACTGACGAAAGACGTAGTAATAAAAAAATATCGAAAAATTCAGCGCTACTTATTTTCTGAAGGAGACATTTAATGACATTGGTCGCCGTGACATGTCAAAAACAATAGTTTTACTGCAAGTAATAAACGCGCCTTACTTATACAATTAGTGTATCTGCCATTGAAATGTTTGTGGTGGACAACCTGACGCTTATTTTCATATGCAGTGCATGACCGAAATCGTAAATCAGACCAAATCTACATTTTAATGCAGAAAGATTTGCATTCAGCATCAGAAATTAATTGTCCAAGTTGATGAACTTGTAAACTCATGAATAATTAAGTGACTATAGGTCACCAAGTTCAATCAATATACATGGTCGTTATTGTCTTCTTTTTCTTTCCTCTTAATGTAATACATCAAGAAACGTATACTGACTTTTTTCTAGACTTAATTGTAAACGTAATGATTTTTTTTTTACTAAATTTCCTACAGTCTAAAATTTCAGGAGTTTCAAATGCGATTTAAAACGCATTACCCTGTAATTATCGACTTTTAAGACACTTTTTAAAAAAAAGTACAAAAAATACTGAAAACTACCGAAAGCGAATAATTGGCCGTCTTTCCTTTTGTAGGAAAAATAATTAAATTTTTCAAAGAGACGAGCCTTTGATGTTTCAATTAGTGACGCTTTTTAGTCAGTTATTGTTAAAAACCCGCGATAAGAAAAATAAAAATGTTGTTGTTGAAAAATATCAATTAGTTCTGAATAAAAAGGTCCCTATATATCTTCAACACATCTAGTGTATCGATAACCAAAATGGCCTTAAGGCTATTCAACTGTCAAAATTAATGAAATTATTAAATTTCGTCCCACAATCAAGATTTAGGTTTTTGTTGTTCATTTATACTACAAAACTTTAAAATAATGATAATATAATATACGATGCATTGGATATTTACCTGTATCAGCTTTATCAAACAGTATTTTATAGCAAAAATCTAAATATTTTATACTACTCGCTGTAGTCAATATCAGTTGATCTTAAAATCATACAAGTTTAAGATATTAAACGATTTTTGTAAAAAGTAAGCATTTGAATTTATCGGATCATTACTTATCCACGTTTAATGCAATTAAATTTAAGTTTCCGTGACTTGAAACATGTTTCAAATTAATCTTGATCTTTGCGGAATTCGGTATAAATTTATGCATTTTCACAATTTTGCTTTAAGGCTTTTTCGTTAAAACTGGCATTATTTTGATAATTACAGTTTCAAAATAACGTGACAGAAAAATAATTTAGTACAATAAAGATGTGGTTTAAGTGTACGAATTGTCACTGGAAGGCGTAAATTCTTAACACGCAAAGTCTTATTGTACAAATAAAATTGAAGAACACTGAGAAAGAGGTAAAAAAATATATCGATGTAATTATCGCACCCAATACTTTTCGACCTTTCTGTGGTACGATTATTACAATTGACTGTATTGTCCACTATTTCATGACGAAACGCATTACTTGTAAAGTCCCTAGTTTAAAAAAGCCTGTAATTTTCTGTAAAGACAAGGCCTGTTTTTTGTCACATTCCGGAGTATTTAAGAAGCTTTTAATGACCACTTTTACTTTTTTCCCTTTATCTCCGTGATCTTAATTATTTGTGTCAAAACACGTTAAGGAAAAAGGAGAGAAATCTTTGCTACTGGGCTAGTTTAAAGGCCGACAGCAATGTCATCACTTCTTCACTGAATATAAACATTCCTTTGTTGGTTTTATTTAGTAATCCACTCAAACGTAAACCTTATCAAAGAGAGCCCGTATTGTTAAACACCATGGGTATTTGAAATCAGCACAGATTCAATATAATCCACCCGAAGCTTCTTTACCTCTAATAATAGGGTATTTTATCACTGCATCACTTTATTCCATTTGAGCTAATTTGGCAACACGATATTACGTTACCACCCCGAAGAAATTTTAAACGATTTCTATTAAAGAGGTGATTTTAAATACAGATTTCTTACAACGGTGTATGAACCCTTAAGTTTAGACAGGTGTGCTTTGAGCCAAATTGATGATAAAATATTTCAGTTTTATTTTCACAACCGACACAATGCTCAATGCTACACATGGATGTCAAATTTACGTCTTTCTAACATGGTGTGTTCAACCTCGTCCAGCTCCTTTCGACTCGGAGGACCGCTCCGAACGTCCGGGATTGTGATGCCATTTTGATGGGCGTTTGAATACCCTGATTTACTTTTATGTCTATAAAAAATATGGAACACAATAACACACAATAATAATGTTATCAAAAATGTGCCGACGACAGCACCGACGATGTCGCCGGCGGTAAATTGTACACCAGCACTATTAGTTTTCTGCGTCACGGCCTGCATGTTATTGGCAGAAACTTTACTTGAGTTCGTATTTACCACAGACTCTTTTGTCTCAGTTTTTATCTCGTCATATTTTTTCTTCTTTTCACCTTTGTCTATAACTATTTCTTTTATATCTGGTGATACGTCATTCATAGCGACATCTGTTTGATCAACGTCCGTCTGGTACTCTGGCACGGCCGGCCATGCAACGTTGATTGAGAAAGTAACATTTCCCGCCGGGTTATTAGCCACGCATTGGTATCTATTTTTAGAATTGGATTCCGGCGGTGTAACATACATTACACCTTCCATTTCTTTAGCTAAATGCTCTGATTTAGGAATAAACACTTCAGAATCGCCGTCGGGCTTCATCCAATATATCGTCGGCACTGGATCCCCGCTTGCGAGACAAGTCATTTTACCAACGTTATGCTCAAAAATAACATCTACGTTTTTAAACACAGGCAGTTGGCATTTGAAATCATCTTCTTGTAAATTATTGAATGGCTTCCCCCTTAATCGTACCGGGGACCTACACGATGGTGGTGAGCCACCCTCAAATATTCTCGAGTTGGAGAGGTAAAACTCATTCAACCACCTGGCCTCACAGTTACAGTGAATTGGGTTATCCCCTATTCTCAAGTGGCTTAAAGTCTTGAAAAGGAATAGCCACTGTGAATTAAACCTCTCGAATTTGTTGCCGTCCAACCACAAATTCTTCAGCGTCCCATTCATAGGTCGAATAATTTCAAGTGATAATTTATCAAGACCATTGTTTTGCATGTACAGTCCAGTAGTCTTTAACCCCGAGAACGCCATCGTCCTGATCACGACCCCTGGATTATCATTGAGGAATAAATGATCAAGGGTCAAGTCCCTAAAAGTATAGTCATAGATTGTTTTCAGCTTGTTCTTTCCAATGTCTAACCATTTCAGGTTTTTATTGTTTACAAACGTATCCGGTGCTATATGCTCAATACCACACCCTGTCAAATATAACTGTTCAAGATCCCCATATAACGTGAAGTTTTCTTTGCTAATATTCGGGTTAGAGAACGTATTGTCATTAAGATTAAGCTGGATTGTATCTCGCGGTATTCCACTGGGAATAAAAGGCAGTCCCTTTCTAGGGCAATACACTATTCTAGACAGAGATGGACAAAAGCACACCGCTGGGCATGTTGGAGCCGTGGTCCCGAGTCCTAAAAGCGCACATATGATGAGCACACTTAAAGCACTCCAACAATTCATTGTAAATATTCCACACGTTACAAATCCCGGCATCATGTTTGTAAAATTATTTCCACTGCTTAGTAAATACACTATTACTTCTGCAACATCACAATTCTTTCCTTAGATTCCACACTTCCTCAATCCGTTATTAAGTTCTTACGTATAATACTCCAAAATATATACAATATATTCACTTATCCCGCTTCGTGTAGAAAACATGAAGTTCTCTGTGTTAAATCCATTTTATATCTAAATAAATCCAATATTTATAACAAATGTTTGATAATACTGCAAATATTAACTTTCTATCTTCTCTCATCGACTAACATACATGTACTCTCTTTACTTCACATTCGTTAACTGACTACTACTATTGGCGAGAAATGCAGTGATGCGCGCGCAGCCTGGTGCGGAACATCAATACTATCGGTTAAGCGAACGAATTAATAATTTCTATGGGTTTAATAAATCGAGCGCACCTTCGGTTTGATAAAAGCCCCAGACACGATTTATTATGAAATATGAAATTATGTATAATCATATTCATTAAGTCATAATGTGAGCTTTTAATTTGCACAATAATTATTACGGCACTTTACAAATGTTTACAAATTACATAAACAATCGTAATACATCTATCAGGACAAGTAATTCAAGTAGCTACCCTGTTTAAACGTCCATGATATGAGGGAAAATGTAAACAAGCCAAATACATACCTCAATAAAATAAACGTAACCTATGATCCCAATTTTCGATGAGTGTGCTGCTTTAGCTTCTTTTACATTTACAAGCAGACGATGTAAATATTTACACATCCTTAAACAGCGATCGGCCATTATAAAACCTATTCATTATTTCAATTATAACACTCGTTCATTACCAACTACCTCCCGAAAAACGGACTCCGGTGACCTGTACTAGATTTTCATGTTATTTATTTTCCACGCATGGTTTTAAAGCAACTGTTTATAGAGTAGTCAAGTTTCTAATGGAGTGGGTTGATAAGAAAGAAATCATCTCTCAGAATGGTTCTACCTTAATTATGGGACTAAAAATGTAACTTTCTGTCCCAGCTTAATTGTATAGTTAAATCAGTATGATTATCCAATTATTTTAAATTTATTCAGGAAATCTGCTTCGTTAATTAACCAAAAGTAATAAATCTGGTATTGTACACTAAAGATAGAACCGGGGCCGGAATTCTGTCACGCACACATGAGAGTAAAGATCCGAATCCTTAATCTTATAACTTTTAATAGCTTACAAAAACCCCGGATTATCCCATAATCTACCGTAGGTAATCCGCTTATTGCACATCTTTATTTTCACGCGAAACAGTATGATGCTGATTCTAAGCACGTGCGCGTTTGTCTAACAAAAGATATTTTATCGTCAGGCCTGTGGGACGTATATTGTTACAGGGCTTTGTAGTTTTATCATGCTACGGCACGTGTCCAACATTACGATGGGAAGAAATTGAATGAACATATTAGAGCTATATCCATTTAAGTATCTTTCGATCGTGGGAGATTTTCATTTTGATTCACTTTTTCCACTTGACTTACACTTCGTCCTCATTTCCCATTCTCAAATATTGAGGGAAAACGGAAAAAAGGTTTAAGAAGTCAAGCAATTTCATACTTCTTCCTATTTAACATGGTAATACATGTAGTGTATTAACATTGATGTTTATTTACGAAGAACAAAAACAGCTAACTCACTTTAAGAGACATTATTTACAATAATTATACTATGCGAAATGCCTGTATTTAGGAATCGTCCGCGTACAAATGTCCTTTATGGAAAGGTCTGGTCATGACCACAAATGTTCATCTCGGCAATGTAACTTTCAAAATTCTAAAACTCGTAAAAAAACAGAACATTAAGGCTTAAATCGCCCAAAGTAGGCTCAAAAATAACTTTATTGCATGACATTTCTGATGAAATAATACTAAATGTACTAAAACATATAAATCATCCGGACTAAGGTTCTTTGCTCGTGGGAATAGAAAAAAAAGTACTTAAAAGAAAAAGAAAACTGTCGCGACATTTTTAATGTATGACTTTACAAAAAAAAAAGAGACCAAAAATGGGCTCGCCACACTTGGTTTGAACCTGAACAGAGTTGTTAATTGCCCGCTTAAGTAATTGGCATGCTTTGAAATATTAATTTTTTGAATGTCAATAGAAGAATGATAGTAATAGTTTCGTATTTTGTCTGCATTTAATACGTCTGTTAAATTTAAACATTGATCGTAAATTGCACTTAATGTAAACTTACGGCCAACGATGTTTTAATAAAGACTCTTTTATTTGCTCATTTTTCCTTGCCAACAATCAGATTAAATGTTTAGTACACTTTCATACAATTCGCCGTTACGATTTCATTCAATTGGTTAATGCACCAACAATCCCCAGCAATTACGTGTAATTTTGTGGTAGATAAACAAATACTCCGTGGAGTCATTGGAACTCAAAGACATCTTAAGAAAACAAAAGACCAAGGTTTAAATGGAAAGTTTAAACTGTCGTGCACGACGTAAATAACGTGTCATCGAAATATTGCTCAATATTTTGATGAAATTTAATAATGGTTTAATCAAGGGCGAAATTGGATATATCAAGTGGGTTCTACGATTAAATTTTCTTTTATATGCACCGAGACTTACTATGAAAACATTGACAAATATTTGTAGTAGTTTAAATAAGTTGTTTAAAATGAAAACAGTCAGATCAATTGCACTATTTATTGCCTTTGTACTACTTTCGCTGTAAACAAAGGGAGGCCACCTTGTTATTAAAGCAATAAAGTTGGCTACAGAGTTACAATCTCGTGAGTTTGTTTTTCCATTAAACGAAATTATAAACTCATTTTAAAGTCACGGATCGCGTATATCAAAGACGCGGAAAGGCAATAAATCGAAACTGAAAGGAAGACTATAAATCAGAGTTGGCAAGCAGGCAGAAGATTGCACGTACTGATAACGCTAAATACGTTATGTCAATAAATGTAACATCCGTGACGGTCGAGCATCTATTTACCTTAACAAGATATCAGTGACGGATATGACCCTGGGGTCTATAGATGTCATGTTTTTACGTATCGCAGGGTAGCCTTCAGGTGTAATAATTCGAAATCCAAATAACTCGTTACACGTACGTTAGCTCTTGAATAAACAAACCCACAAATATTTTCACAGATACTTACACTGTTTTATTTATCTTTTTGTAATGTTTTCATTGTACAATAGCAGATTAGACACTAAACCAATTTAAGATCTTCCGCCAAAATAAAAAACAACTTTATTCAACATTTTTATTTTTGTTGGTTTTCTTTTTCTATTTTTTTTCTTTACTTTTTCATTTCTTCTTCTTTATTATCACTATCTATACAATCTTCTTTATTATCACTATCTACAATCTGCACCTGATTTTGGCCGGGGTAAATTAAATGTCGACGTTAAAGTATTTACCCCCAAAAAATATCGCGCTGTATCACAGAATATATAAATGTATATGAAGGTTTTCAATATAAGAAAAGGGAATAATTGTTGAAAAATAATGACACTCATATCAATGCCTCGTGAAAAGGGAAAAAAGAAACACGTCATCGAACTTCATATTGGCAGAAACAAATCGATTTTTTTATCGATAAATTAAAATCAAACCTTTAAAAAAACGAATAAAAAGCAAGTTGTCAAATTCTATTTTCTGATTTATTTTGACAGAGTTGACAATCGTGTGACCGATTGCAAACATTAATATGACACAATGTCCATCAGCAGGTATAATTGTTTCAATCATATTTCTGATAGGTGGCGCGCGCACCTGGTTATAAATGGCGTTTATTTATCAGTCTGAAGGTGCAACAAACAATCGAAAATCACATTCCAGGGGAGCGCATCAGTGTAAAAATTCCGATAAAATATAATCTCCGTTAATCACCCCATGCAGATGGTCAAAAGTCGCAACTACCTTTGCAAAACCAACCATGATATGAATTTACCCACTAAGAAGATATACATCGCGTTTTGATGATACCCGATTTTCAGGTGCTTTTTTATGCAAGTCGTTTTTTATCTCCAAAATTGTTTTATCAAGATTTTTTTTCTAGTGTCAGCAATGATTATCTAAGTTGTTTTCCCAGAGCAGAACAAAGCATACTCTTTATTCGGAAAAAAGCACAGATTACAAAATGTTCTGAAATAACAGTGTGCAAATTGTGTACAAGAAAAAAGCAATAAGAATGGTTAATAATTCTTTTGGAATAATATTTAGTAAACAAAATAATCATATAATATGAGTTGCGATTGAAGTTATAGTTCTAACTGAAAAAAAATTGTGTTTGGTTTTAATTGTAATAACTTTGTTTAAAATGAAAAAAGGCAACCATAGCTTGTTTAAGTAAGTCAGTTATAACAAAAGCAGTCCTTTGAATAAGCTTTACGACTAAACGTAGCTAAACGACTTTGCAGAAATGCTTTCAATGTCAGACATGTAATGCATTTTAGGTAATAAATTTATACCGTTTATATGAAAAAATCAGAACAGGAATAATGAGACTGTATTTAATCAATACTTTATCTCCTCAAGACCTATTATTTATACATTGTGCATATTCATGTTAACAATAATAGCAATTTCCATCGCACTCATATTCATTACCAAAAGATAACAAAACTGACATCAGTTTTGATAAACTATCATTCAAACCACACATAAAATCTTGCCAATTTTCTCAACTATTCCCGAAGAGGTCAATCATGTAGGGACAGTAGCGTAAACAGCGCAATATTGTAGTAATGAAATTGTAATGTTGAAGCGTTCAGCGTCCCCATGGGATACAGGGTAATTACGGGGACATGTAATAAGTATTGTTGATCGTGTTTCATTATCAATAGTATGTAATTTAAGTTAACACGTTAATAGTTCTGATCATCATGTAACCCCGCGGGAGAGAAATTGAAACCGACTTGTAATTATCCAATTGAGATAAGTACAACGTACCTTTTATAAACCTACCTTTGTATTTACATTTACTTGTATGTAATTTTATCATGTACAATCCAAGTTACATCAAAATTGGCGATGTTTCTTGAGAGCTGACATGGGAATTCAATAAAAAAAAATGTCATTCAGAAAACTGACTTTTCAAATTGATTAAATGCGTCCAAAATGTAATGTTGATAGTCAAATCTCCAATGGATATCCCCAGGATCTCTCCTACTTTTACCTATGTCCATATTCTGTTGGATTCGGAAGTGATTTGCCAACAGTATTGAATTCTATACAGTTGGCTGACAAACTATGTTTTCATCTCGATCCCAAAAAAAGTTTCCATTTAATTTTCTCCTGATTGACAAAAGCAAAACTGAAAGAAAGAAAAAAAACACACTACCACAC